TGTTCCATGAGCATGGTAGATGACCCACGTGCCATCTTTTCCATTCACGAAACACAGCCAAAAATGAACCTTTACTTCCTCTCATAATCTGTCTTAAATAGTAAGTACCAGGATTTTCCCAGTAGCCACAACAAGAAGACTGGGAGTCGTCCCAGACCCCATGCTCTCTCTCTACTCACTACTCAGTCTTCCCTCACCCTCTCCAGTTGGCCGTGAAGTTTTGTCAACCTTACCCTCAAATTTCTCCTGACATTCCTTTCTAATTCCCATTTCCCTGGTTCAAGTCCTCATTACTCCCATGAGTAGGATACAAATGAACTTTTGAATATGGTAGAATGACATGCTCTTAAACTTTTTGGATGTGTGCCAGAGCTACTGATTATTGCCAGCCACGCTTTCAGTCTTAGCTGAGTGGGCAGTGGCAATGATTTGCATACCAAATGACCTAGGTTCCCATAGTTGATTGGGCCAGGGATGGGTACGTGACCCAATGGCATCTCTTCCTATAGGCTCGATTAGCCAAGGTATGACTTAGGTGACTAGTTATAAGATACTAGATGAGTGAAATTCCTCTTTTGGGATTTCAGAATAGAGAAGTGGAGAGTCTCAGACCATTAATGTACAGAAGGGTCAGCAGGAATGATGGGCAAGAGCAAGCTGCAGTTATGAGAAAGCAGACACTGTGAGTATGCAGGGGAGCTGGTGAGCCAGGAGAGCAGAGGGAAAGACAGAATCTGAGGCACAGTGGGAAGGACTCTGCCTTGATTTCTCTGGTTCCTTAAGAGTACTACCTGAGGCCTGGCCCTACTATGATTCCTATTGTCAGCCTTGCTGCATTTTTATAAACAAACAAAACAACCCTAGTCTGAGCAAACCTCTGCTTCCTGGGATAAACTGACCAAAGAGTTACATGTTCCAGGCAAGCCCTTATGATGTTCTGATGAGACATCTGCAAGAAAGCAGCACTGTAACCAGGAGCAGCAATATGCAGTCCCACAGTCACTGTTTATTCCTTCTTTTGAAAGCTCCAGATTAGGGAAAAAAGGAAAGGAAAAGTTATACCACTATTTCCTTTGGGAGCAGAAGAAAATAATGATGAACTTCTTGGGTCAAAACCAGTCTTTATATAAAAACCAATTGATCTCTGCCAACATAATTTCAGAAATAAAAAGTAATTGTTGCTACAAATATCATATGAAAATGACTATGATAAGTGACGTAACATTGTCTGATGCTTATCAATGGTGTCGTAATCAAACCACCTTTTAGATGCTGTGTTTCTAGCTAGCTGCCATCCCATTTGCCAGCTGTGGACACCAGAGGGGCTGCTGAAGTTCTACAGGATGCCTGTCACATGACCCTCTCAAAATAGAATTGATATGTACATTTATTAAAGATTTATAGGTAAGAAACATTAGGCACATGTACTTAATAGTCTGAATACAGAATACTGTCAGAAAGCACCTTTATTCATGTCTCCCAGTACCCCTATAAAGTGTATTCAGTGGGGAACTTCTTCCTCTGTTTATAGTCAAGTTAAAACCAGATAGTCTCAGGACTCTCTTGAGATTCTCAGGCAAGAGAAAGTCCCATCTTCACTTCAAATTGTGTTAGTGCATTAATTCATATGTCATAATCAAAACTGGGAGCTTGGTTCAAAATTAAGTCTTACCCTTATCACTGTGAGAAGCCACGTACAGGGAGGAAGGTGTGGAAGGGGAAGGTCTGTCTCTCCTTGCTCTTGACAGCTTCTGATTCTTCTAGGGTTGGGACAGAGGAAGGAAGGAGAAGAGGGAGAGGAGGAGTGTCGTCTGCTGCAGTTTTAAGATGGCCTCCAGCTTTCTCAGCCTGGTAAACATTTAAAGCAGACCACATTTCAGAGAGGCTTTTGTGGGTTCTTGGGAGCTTGCACTCATAGCTGGTGATGTCTCACGTGCAGTTCCCTGGATTTAGGCAAATGTGCTCTCTGCTTGAGCAGACACTTACTTCCTCAGCCCCTAGGAACCTAGTGTTTTCCCTCTGCTTCCCCTCTTCTAAGTCTTGGCTGCACTTAGGCTGCCCAGCCAGCTCTTGCTCATGACCGACCCAGATCTGACCCATAAAGAAACACACATACCCATCTTTCCCCTTGTCACACTCGGAGCAACAGCACCTCCCCTTCAGTCTGCACCAGAAGTAGCTTGCTAGCTCATCTTTCACGTGATTTGCCAGAATGGAGCTGAACCACTGTGTTCTTCCTACAGCTTCCTAAGCTGTCTAATTAGTCCCACTTATATCCTTTACTTTTAACATTAGGTGACCCTAACCTTTTACTTTGGTGGAAACTGAGAACAGTTTTCTTTTAAGAAAAACACTCCAAATATTCTCTCTTCAATCTCCAACAATTCTATGTGATCTAGTCTTTCCTTTGGGATATAGCACCTATTGTTTTGGTGCCTCAGCCAACAGTTTAGTTTTAACACCCCGTAAGTATAATGGGTTTTTGTTTACTTGTTTAAAATTCTAAGGTCAGAAATTTGTTGTTTGGATGAAGTCCTCACATTTCCTGGATACCATTGTCATACTCAGGCAATGCTGCTCCAAAAGAACAAACCTCCAGGGTCTCTGGCCAGCCCAGGAAAAAATTTGTTTTCTGAAGGGAACAAATGACTCTCTCCCCCTTAGCTCATCAGACCTTGAAACTCTTGGAACTTTTCCAACTAGTGGCCTAGGAGAAGGACCAGCAACCCCAGGACACAGGCCATATAGCCCTCATACTGCCTGGAGGAAGAGGGTAAGAGGAAGGAACAAAGGGCACCCACACACACTGGTGGGTGATCTTCTTTATGGCCCCCTCTTCCTGGCTGTATTGAAGATGTGACCATCCTGCAGGGCTTCTAGACAGGACTACAGAAAACAGAACTGGGTTTCATGTGCTTACAGACTTGAAGGACTGAGAAAGCCTGGAGCAGAGAGGCTAGATATGCCTGAGGAATCAGGATCCAAAAAGGCTGATTCTAGGTGAGGCCAGGAAGCAAGGGAGAACACCACTGCAGGGGAAAAAGCATCACACATTTCTTGAGGTCCTTCACAATGTACACCCTAATTGATCTTTTCAGTCTCACCTCCTTTACTTTTCTCCCCTTCTCTACAGCCACACGAAACCACCTTCATTTTTTAAATATGCCATGCTCTTCCACATTTCCCTTCTTCATATGCTATTCTTTCAGGACGGAGTGCCCCCCTCACTCTCAGTCCCCCTTCCATTGCATCTATTCAACCGTCAATACCTAGTTTGTCTAGTTTTCTATGAAGCCTTCCTGCCACTTTCCCCACGTGGCTGCTGTGCCACTTTTTACACGTCTCAGTTCTGGCTCTCATGCCACGTCATTGCAGTGCTTTATTAACTCGCCTCTCCCTGCTCCCCGACAGTCACTGAGTGTCTCTAAGACAAGGACTGTGCCCTATTCAGTCTTGTACCCCAGTCACCTACAGTTGTGCTTCAGTGTTGCAGGGACTTCTATTTCTGTGTAACAACTTACCATAATCTTAGCAGCTTGAAACACACATGTATTATTTCACAGCTTCTGAAAGTCAAAAGTCTAGGCATGGAGTGGCTAGATTCTCGGATCAGGGTCTCCCTGAGCTGAAATCAAGGTGTTAGGCAGGGCTGTGATTTTCACCTGGAGCTCAGGATCTTCTTCTAGACTGACTGATTATTGACAGATTAATTTTCTTGACAATGTAGGACCGATGTTCCCATTTTCCTGCTAGCTGTTGGCCAAAAACTACTCTCAGCTCTTACAGGCTGCCTACAGTTTCTTGCCACGTGGCCCCACTAGGCGGCCCACAACACAGATGTTTACTTCCTTCCAAGCCGGCTGGAACATGTCTCTTTGATTTCCTCATCTATAATCAGTCAGAGAGAATCCTCTGCTTCTACAGGGCTCACCTGATAAAGTTGGGCCCAACCAGGATAGCCTCCCTTCCGCCACACAACATAGCGTGATCACAACAGGGTGTTTCGTCATGTTCATGGGTTCCGCACACATTCCCAGGGGAGGGAATACATGATGAGGGTTCACTGGGGTCAGTTGTGCCTATCACAGAGCTCAATGAATAGTAATAAAATCAAATAAGATGTGTTCCAGAAATATGTAAATTATAAACACTGCTACTCAGTTAGTTGTAAGTTTTTTCCTCTTCTCTTAGAAGGCTTTCAAAGTTACTTTCTAATATATGTTGGATCCAGAATGGCTGAGGATACCTTATGTAAAATAACATGATACCCTGAGCCCAGGTAGTGCTGGAAATCTGGAGTGGGTGGCAAAACCTGGTTGGTAGCTGACTGACTGTGTGACCTCAGGTTAAGTCCCTGAAACTTTCCAACTATCAGATTTCCTCCTTATGTATAAAATGAGGGAGTTGGGATTAAATGATAAAAATCTAAGATTGGCCAGCTTTAATATTCCATAATTTCTAACACTAATCATGTTGATCAAATTTAAATCTAACCAAGGGACTCACAATGTCTAAATTCATTAAAATAGTTCACAAAAGGATTTCATTATAAATGAAATTACAACGATGTGATTTTAAGAGGAAAAGGCAGTTTTGTTTTTAAATGTACCTACTGCTATATTGGCCAAACCCAACTAAGTATAAATAAGAGTACACAACTACATTTTTAATCCTTTACATAAAATGGTTAAAAATATTTTGTCTTTAGATGATAAATCTGTCCAGTTATGGTCAGAAGTGAATTTTCCTTAAAATATTATCAGTTTCCTTAACTGATAACTGAAAAACTATCAAAGACAGTACTCAAATGTTACAAATCAATTCACTGACTACATGCCAAGCATGTTGAGATTCTTGTATACATTTTGGGGGTTTAAGGCTTTCTTTTATGTTTCTCAGATGAAGGCTCTTTGGCTGAGATTATTTTCTTCTACCCCCCAAAATGAGCTCTAATTTTAAATAGGTATTATTAAATTCCACGAAAATAGGCTTCATGCAGATATATTTGTTAAAATATCCCTTTATTGACTGTGCACAGTTATTAACAATTCACATTTCACTTTATCTACTGAGAGGAAGAGCGTTTATTCTTTCATTAAAATGTGAAGCCCTTAGGGCAGCAGCAGGGATGCAGAGCCTCCTATAAACGGCACTGTCCAATGAATGTGAAATGTTTCCATATTAACACAAAAGAGAAAAATAAATAAAACAAATGGGTTTCTCCTGCCCTCCACCATCCCCTCCCTGCCAATATACTCCTCTTATTTTATAAAATGTCAAAAGGTAAATAGTTTCCACACTGGTACTGCCATCAATCAGAAGAAGAATGCCAACATTTATCGGCACCACTAAGTTCAGAACGTCATTAGGGCTGTGTGACAGTGACAAAAGGAGTACGAGGCCATGGCCATTTCCTCAGGAAGAAGCCTGCTGGACAGCGAGGGTGGAAACTCACGTGGGCTCTCATCAACCTCCAGTGCCTTGCTGCTCAAGCTTCCGGAGCTGTTTTTCAAGTTTTGAGATGTTTACTCGATGCATCATCAGAAACTTGCCATTCAAATGAAAGACAGGGATGTCAAATTTATACCTCTCATACCAAGTGGAGTTTTCTGGCAGGGTGATGTCCACCTCCTGTAAAACAAACTGAAACAGAGGCAGACTAAAGCTCTACATTTTAGAAGACATGGAAAGATGCAATAACTTCAGTGACAAACTGATCCCCAGACTGGTTCTAATGCTCAGAGGTTTTTGTTGTTGTTTGTTTATGAGAGTTCCAAAGTGATCTAATGTCCCTGATTTCCACAACCTGACTGATTTCATTATATTCCCTAACTCCTGATTGTACTACTTTTCTGTTTACACATATTACATTCAGCATCCGGCACTTCTTCGTTCCCGATGAAATAAAGTATGTCCCCACTGGGAAGCTTCCTGAGAATCAGGAAAGACATGTTTTGGTTTTCAAAGTGGTTTGCTACAGGAGAACATTTCCATGAAAATATCAAAATAAGAGAAAGGAACAGGGATGAAAGTTTTTAAAAAGCACGAATACTGCACCTGCTAGTTAACTTTGACTCATATTAGAGTCACAGTAAGGAAACCAGTACTGCTCGAAGTAAAACACTTATGTGTAATGAGTTTTATGGAAATTAGCACTAAAATCTCTCTTGGAAAATTAGAAAGAAAATTTAAATGAAAAATCATTTAATCTCTTTTCCTAAAGATAGGATCCAGATACCTTATATCATATACACTGTCCATTCTGTATACATAAAGCTACATTGTACTAATTACCCTGTTTTTATAAGGCTCCAGAACTTCCTTCGCTTCATCACAAAGGGGACAGGGATCCTACAGGAAGAAAAAAAATAAAGCCATTAAACCCAAAGAATGGCATGCAGGCTGACAGAAACCACAAGAAGCAGATTACACCTATTTTCAAGGACTGTGTCTATGAGGGTAATTATACTGTTTTATTTCCAAAGTAAAACACTGTCATAGAATCTTATAAAGACCTCGTATTTTGTGGCAAGTGGGCTTTCAGTATTTTTCAGTTGTTTTGTTTTGATTTTTCTCTATAAATCAATCTATCTATAATAAATTTAGGCATTTACATTTGTTACACACTCATACACACACATATACACATATAACATGTGGAACATATATGTACACATGTGTACATAACAAATGTATATAACTTTATTAGATATTTATTACAGATATAGAGATACATATATACATACACACACACAATACATTTAGATGCCTACATTTTATGGTCCTGGCTTTGTGTAAAGGATATCTGGGAAGATGATTTTTCACTGATCTGTACTCCAAGGAGTGCCTTCCTGGCCTCGCGGACATCACCAGAATGGCTAAAAGTCTGTTTGGAATGAGGGGCACTGAGCTTTGCCAGCCTTTTCTCCTAATCAGTCCACAGGAATAAACCCACTGGGATGGAGTTAGGTAAGTGAGCCTCATCTTTAAAAGGGAAAAATATTTCAGATGATGGTTGTACCAGCTCTTGAATGTTTTGTCTGTTTCTCATTACAAGTGTCAACAATAGGTTTCCCAGATAATTCTCCACCTGAGGAGAAAGCAAGTTTTAGTTGCCTATTGTTGTTTGTACTCTAACCACGTAGTGAAGTCTGTCGAGAATGCTGCGGACCGTTAGCAGATTTTAAAGGCTTCTCAGGCCTTGAGTCTAGGAACAGGAACTGCTGTAGGTTCTGTTGCATGAGCTCAGAATAGACTCGACTTTACTGATGCTCATGTAAAACCTGCTTTTTAACATGAAAGGAAAGACCGGCTGTTAAATAAAAGAAAGGCCCTTCCTCTGGCTTACCTCACAGCTTTTTTTTTTAAACCAGGATTTAGTGTACATTTATTATTAACACGTGGAACATATAATATAAAGATTTCATACTGAATAAATGATATTCACTAAGCCAAAAAAGGGGGAATTTACATCAAGTTTTAGCTGCATTGTTTGAAATACAAATATGCAGATTTTATCATTGAAAAAATTTCAATTGTGTTTTTTCATCAGGAACTTCAACTGAACCTAGAACTTTTTCACACCTCCATTAGAAAGAAAACAAACACCCAGAAAAAAGTGAACTGTAAGTTGATTGGCTGCTGAGAGAGCAAGGACTTTTTATAAAGACCTGTATAGCATCATACCAGAGGGGTGATGTCTGGTAAGAGATTAAATAGCTGTGTCTTGCTTTGTGCAGGTCGCCGGCTTGTCAAGGTATAGCTGAGAGGGGGACCATACTGTGGGGATCCAATAGCATGTACAATATCATATATATACACATGTCCAAGGGTATGTGCAATGTACAACTCCAAATATATACATACGTGGCAGCGCAGCCACTGAAGCTCAAGGTTAAAACCAGTTCTAAGAGGTGATCTCAGGGTCGGTTGTTCATATAATCAAGGAGGAATGAGGTCAGGGTGTTATATGTTCACACATGATACTCTGGGGGAAAAGGCCTTTTTTTCCTTCTTAATGTTTAACTAAAAACATTTTTAAAAGCTTGCTACTGACCCAGGGTTTTTCTCTTGTTTCTGTGTGAGACATTATTGTTATTATTACAGTATGTTTACCGTGTCAGATGTACAGTATAGTACATGAAAGGGTCTACACTACACAGCAGAGGCCTCACAGTGAGTAGGGTTTGTCTACACCTGTGAACTTCTTGGCTCCTGCAAGATTGTGAATGTACAACAATAAACCATACACACTTCAGCAGTCACATTTTTGTCCTTCAGCATTTTTTTTGTATTTTTTCTTTCTTTTTTTTTAACCATTGAAAACAGTTATGAAATGTGGTATCTTGTTGATGCAAGGACTAGGAAAGACATTTTTATTTTACTTATTTTCCCCCAAACTCACTGTAAACAACAGTAACTTTGGTTAAAATAAAAAAGTTTATGTAGTCACAACCTTGTCTTCAAACAGGGCAGCATCCTGAGACTCACAACTTATTTTGAAATAAGGAGCCACATCATCAAAAGTCAGTTTTCTGCCTTGACTGGTGTAGCTCAGTGGGTTGGGCATCATCCCACAAAGCACAAGGTCACCAATTCAATTCCTGGTCAGGGCACATGCCTGGGTTGTGGGCCCAGTCCCCAGTAGGCGCATATATGAAACACTGGTCAATGTTTCTCTCCTTCTTTCACCTTCTTTCCCCTCTAGGAATAAATAAATTAAATTTAATTTAAAAGTCAGTCAGTTTTCCTTCAAAAGGGTCCTCCTGGCCCTATTTCCTTGTTCAGAAAATTAGGCTCATGTTGCTCCTGTTAGTATTATCAATAAACAGATTGTGGATAGTCTGTGATGTGTTGAGATAATTATGTTGACATTTTCTGAGAAAGTTTCAAAAAGTCAACATAGTTTCTTAAAACAAGAACAAGCTAAATTGCAGAAGCACCAATTTACCAACATTTTGCTTTTGTAGTAAAAAACTTTAGTAGAGCTTTGACCAGGTTTTTTTTTGTGTTTGTTTTGTGTTTAAAACCTGATGTCTGTCCATGAAATCTGTGCAAATTATTGTGTGTGTGTGTTTATGAGGAATAGTTCATCAAATTTTAAAATGCTCTATGAATTGAAAAAGGGTAAGACCCAGTGGGCTGGACCATTCAAATACCCTTGTCCAGGATTTCCCATGGCACCAACAGAGCACTCATTTACTCTAGTCTGGAACTGTAGTGGACACTTGCTCCGTTGGTTGTCTGCCACCCACTCCCCTTTTCATAGACAGAATGCAGTGATTTTGCCTCACAGGAACTGCTCTCAGCCTGTGGTTGACTCCATCCCTGAAGAATCAAGGGTGGAACACCTGACTTAGCCTGAGGCAATCAGCACATCCTACCCTTTGGCTAAGTTGGAATGGCTCGGGGATCACCTGATCAGAGCCAATAGATTGCTAGGAGGCTTTTGTTGGAGTTTCTGTAGATACCCAAGCTGTGAGATATGGGGCTTGGTGTCACTGCAGTCACTTGGGAGAAGAGACAAAGTCAGGACAGATTTAACCCAGAGGATGTGGAGCTGAAGAGACTGGCAACATGCTTAGTTTCACAATGAAACTATTCCTGAAACCAGACCAACCCATAAAATCCCTTTTTTGTTTAAGCTCCTCTGGGAAGTACTTTCTTTTATTTGTAAGTGGAAAGAGGCCTAATACTCTGCTCTTTCTCTCTCTGGATTGTGAACTCCTGAAGGTGAGAGTGATATTATATGCCTAATGACACAGATCAAGTGTTCAGTACAAAATTTAAGCTGATTGGAAGATTAGTGTGTTGTTTTTGCAGATGTTTTTAGCTCACTTGGTGTTGCTCAAGCTGAAAAATAGTGCAGAATAGTTAGGCTGAGTGCGCACCATTTGCCTTAAGGGATTACTTTATTTTTGTGGTTAATTCTCACATGCAATTCTCATAGACACAGATGATGAAATAGTTTTGTCCCATAGTTTCCAACAGTGAAATATATACTTCCGGATATGAAAAGTAGTTTAGAGTGACTCTTCTCAATGAGAAATTAATTTTTAAAAACCTTCTAAGCTTTGTTATTAGGTAACCATCAAATATTTTCAAATTGTTAAAATGTCTGAAATCCAAAAAATCTGTTAAACACAAGACCGTTTTTTTGTTTGAATTGCAATGCTACTCACTAAAGTTAATTCTACTACCCTGCACTTTGTGTCTTTTTTGATTGTAAGTCACACAGAGTAATGTTAACTAGCAAAAGAAAACCAGTAATGCTTGTATTATAAATTTCAGGGGGAAAAGCTCTTAAAAACTTTAAACTACTTCTATACCTCAAACCTAGTGTCAGGAATAAGAAAACAAGTACAGTCGATATTCATTATTTGTGGATTCTGTATTTGTGAGTTCACCTATTTACTGAAACTTATTTGTAACCCCAAGATCAATACTGGTGTACTTTTTGCAGTCATTCACAGCCATGCACATGCACAGAGCAGAGAAAATTTTGAGTCACCCCAAGTGCACACTCCTAGCTGAGACTGAACAAGTTGATGCTTCTTGTTTTAGCTCATACTTGTAAACAAGTGTCCTCATGACCTACATAGTGCTGTTTTTGATATTTTTGTGCTTTTTGTTGTTGACAGTGCTCAAGGGCTGTCTAATGTTTCCAAACATAAGAAGGTTATGATGTGCCTTATGGAGAAAATATTGTGTTAGATAAGCTTTGTTCAGGCATGAGTTATAGTGCTCTTGGCCCTGAGTTCAACATCAATGAATGAACAATATATATTAAATAAGGCATCCTGAAACAGAAACACACATAAAACAAGGTTATGTACTGATCGATTGACAAAAATGCTCTTAGGGGAGCTCAAATGAACCTAACCCTATTTTGTCCCTAGGAGCAAGTGTTCAGTATTCGCTAATTCAGTGTTTGTGGTGACATTTTATTTTTCACATTTTTATTTTATTATTTTATTTTTTCCTAACCCAAGTACCTTTTCTTGTATTGCCTTTAGAGAGATGAGGGAAGGAGAAAGAGGTAGACAGAGAAAGACAGAGACAGAGAGAGACAAAGAGAAACATCAATGTGAGAAACATTGACTGGTTGCCTACTGGCACATGCCCCGACTGGGGATTGAACCCACAGCCTGGGTATGTGCCCTAACTGGGAATCGAACTCACCACCATTTGGTTTAGGATGATGACACTCCAGCCAACTGAGCCACACCAGCCAGGGTTATGGTGACTTTATTTAACATAATTATCACAAGTAACAAGAATTGACTGAGTTTCTAAATGCCACATTTGTAAACATCATATTATAAACTGATAGTTCTTTCTTTCAATGTAGATGACTCAGATGACTATTAAATACATTAATTTACCCTCTAATTGTGAGAAAATGAGGCATCTGGGTGGGAGACAGAGTTACTACTATTGTTACTGAAACTGAAAAACTGAGGAGCAGGTTGAAGAATGTTTATTCCTTTACTTTCCATTCAACATTTTTCTTTATTTTCTTCACCCAACAATTTTAATACTTCATGTTTTTAAAGCAGTACTTTTACTTTTTCACTCTGTACCTTTGTGAATAAGGTCAGCACAGGCAGAACAGTTTTAGAGGCAGAGAGATTTCTCAGGAAGGGTCGAAAGCAGTATTTGGCAAGTTGCATACTATTTCCTTGAAACCAGAGCATCTTACTCCTGCCAAAAGAAAAACAGACCAGTAAACGTATGTACCCTACACTTTGCTCTTATAACATGAACAATAAGCCACAGCCTGTGATGGAATGTGAGACTTCAGAATTGCTTCTTGAAGTCCAGGAGTAGCGGAGAGGCCCAGATGTTTAGCAAGTCTCCACCATGCCTCCACATTAACTGTATTCCAAACAAAACCAAATTCAAGACGGAAAAAAAAAATCCATGTTTATAGATTAGCTGTGCAACTAATCATTTGGTTTCTGTAAGCAAACTGTATGGGTTTGTTCATTTGAATACAAAATTAAGTTTCACCTGCAGATTTTGCCAGCATTCTGATGATCCTCTAAAAGGTGGACATTTCCTGAGATGGTTTTTATTCTCCAAGATCTTATTACCAAGCATTCACCAACACCCACCCACTATCACAGTAAAGATAACGATAAGTAAGCAGCCCAAGTCCCCAGATGAAGGTTAAGGCTATCATTTATGAGATCCCTGCCTTTCTGCCGCAGGAGATGGGGAAACAAAGAGTCGTACCTAGAGGAACTATAGACTATAGGGGAGAATGAGAAACAAAAATTACTCAACTCTTTAAGAAGCATTTTAAAAGGATATTGCCATAATTTTTGAAAACATACACAAATGTGCTAGTGTTTCTTACTGGAGGTATTCCAATAAAAGCAGTTCCAATAAGAGCAGCATGTCAAACACTAGGATTTGAAGCTCCCTCATCCTGCTACTTTGTATGACATAAGATGCCCTACTTATTCCTAGGTTTCCACTGAGCCTCCAGCTTTTTCCTTAAAATTACAAATATAATCCCACTTTTAAAACACATACACACTATTTTTTATTACTTACCAATATTCCCAAGATGAATTCATTCCTGGAATTTTCATAACTTCACTTTATCTCTCCAACTTCATCTATTACCTCCCTTCCTCCCTCACCTTTTCTTGCAAGTTGTAGCCACAAAGATTCTCTTTCTGTTCCTTGAATAACCAAAGATTATTTTTTCACCAGGATCTCTGCACTTGCTGTTCCTCTGTATGAAAAGCCCTTAAGTAGCTTCTCCTCATTTGGCCTGGGCTCATGTCACCTCTTTAGAGGTGGCTCAGTGACTATCTTACAATTATTGGTCACCCCACCACTCTCCTTCATGCCTTACTATAGTTTTCTTTTTATCCTCCATTATCTAAAATTATTCCTTTACCTATATGTTCCTTTTACTATAAGGTGAATTCCATAAGAACAAGTACTTGTTCACCTAGTATCTCTAAGCATCTACAATTAACCTGGCACATAGGAGGGGTTCACATTATTTGTCTGAATATTAAAAATATTGAAGAGAACCTTTCTCCCCCTCTTAACACTCTCCTCTAACCCTGACCAGATATTCATTGTGCACAGTAGTCACAAGGTGGGGGGCTGCTCTCATACCACAACTAAAGGTTAGTGCTCCTCAGGTGTCCACGGAATTGTGGGTGAGGGTGCCGCAGCTGGTTCCAACCCCTTCACCACCACCTAGAATTTCCCCCGACTCTGGTCCATAGCACGACTATTAATTACATGCTAATCTCTACTGGTGACCAGGCTTCTCAGTGTAAAATTAGTCTTACACTCATTTCATTCAGAATTATATGACTTTAGAGAAAAACATCAATCCATATCAAACCAGAATAAAGACCATACATAGGACAAATAGATTTGATTCTAATCTATGAAAACAATAGTCTTTCCTTTATTCTTAAACCCTTAGTCTTCTACTTCTCACTCAATCTTCCTGCTAACTAAATGATCATGATAATGTATAAAAAAAGGAATGTAATGAGAATTTTGCAAGGATCTGCTACCCAGCATTATTCCAAGGTGGAAAGTAGATCTAAATAACTTCACAATATCCTGTGCCACTCTTATCTAAGTGTGAAGCCCTGATATACACATTTTCCATAAAATCAGCAGAATCAGCAACTCCAAAAGGTGAATGTGGTTGGAGACAACAGGTGCTAATCATGGCGTTGTCTACACAGAATATAAGTGAGGGGGAGAAGTAGAATGTTAGCCATGTTTATTCTAGGTAGAGATTTCTGCATCATTGGTTTTGGGAAGGTATGCCAAGAGCAGCATACCCTCACAGGGTATAAAGTTAAGGAAGCTGTTTTACATGGAGAAGAAAGGAAATTAAAAATTAGTTTTGTTATAGTAAAGACAGAAAGACAGCCCTTGGAAGGAGAAGGATTGGTTATCTATGACAGTGATGAGAGACTATACATACCCAGGACACTGAACTGCAGCTCTGTTTTTGGTGGAAGGATTTAAGATTTATTGATGTCTGCCTGGTAAGGAAAGGAAAATGTATTACTTTTACCTAGCTGAGTTGAGACTGAGGTGTTAAGACTTTAAAAAAAAATTTCACATTCACAATGGAAATCTGCTTCAGTATTTCCAACATGACAAAACACAGCATGTGGTCTTGGTTGTGCCCGAGACAAATAAAGCCTGTCATCGTAAACAGTTGCTATTCATTCCAGATTTGCGGGAATATTTGTTCAACCAACCCAGAGAGCTAAGTAAAGTCTTCAGTGATGTTACAACCATTCTATTTAAAACTGGTTCTTTTTTTTCCACTGTTCGTTTCCACTTCTACTTTTTTACAGGTATTTAATCACTTAAACATCGCATATTTGTTTACTGAGAAATGCATTAGCATTATGTAATTTTACTATCTGCATATTTTCCAAATGCCCCAAGGCACATGCATTTTACCACATTATTCAATTAACTTATATCTTTATATGATAAAGTTATATTAGAGTCTGATATAAATAAAAAACTCCATATACCTCACGTAGACAAAAGTAAGACATTAAGGCTAAAATTGTGAACACTGGAGTCCACTTAGTTCTAGAAATACAAAGTAAAATGAAAAAACAACACACTCCAATTGGAATTCTATAATACCGTATTTTTCAGACTATAAGACACACACACTTTCCCCCCCAAATTTGGGAGGAAAAGGGGGGTGCATCTCATAGTCTGAATGTAACTTACCTAACTCACTGTGGGGGGAGGAGGCAGCGGTGGAGTGGAGTCACAAGTTATTAAATATTTTATCACATTTTTTGCTTCAAAATTTTTTTTTCCTATTTCCCTCCTCTAAAACCTAGGTGCATCTTATGGTCCAGTGCATCTTATAGTCCTAAAAATACGGTACTCTTGTTAGAATATTTTATAAATCTGTAAACCCTTACACCATTGCTGTCGGTGTCACATTCACCTAATCATGTCTTCTTCAAGTAAAATCTTAATATGGGCTACTCTATCAATGTGACATTTTCATTAGTTCTATTATTTTTTAACAGTATCTCAGCATTATAAAAATATTCTGAAAGGCGGTGTCTGCCTGTTAGCTCATGACTGAGAGAGGACAACACCTTTTGATTATGTCATTGAATTTAGTCATGAAATATGTGTCCTCGCTACACAGAGGCACAATTTTATCCTTTGTATTTTATTATATGCCTCTGTGATATGAGCAAAAAGAGCTGTGTTCATAATATCAAAGCAGCACAATTGGGTCACCTTTGTCACAGACCAAAAAAAAAAAAAAAAAACAGCAAAAGGCTTATGACTGGATTTAGAATGTGCCTAAAACAAATTGCACAGCCGAACAATAAAGATGGGAACTCCTGCTGTTTCAAGTCCACTGCCCCTCAGAGGCACATCGCCCTGACAGAGAAAGGGAATGCTGGCTTTTCAACAAAACTGAGGCTGACTTCAGTGGTCTTTATAGCAGAATCAAGTACAACATGGGGGGAGGACTGATTGGACCAATTCAGCACTCCTTGAAGCAAGATGAAGATAACATAACTTTGTGGCATTTTCTCTGGGAAGCACTGAAGGCATACCATTAAAGCAACTGATTATAGTACAGAAAAGAGCCAGGGTCATTTGAGCCTGCAGTAAGGATTCTTCTTTTCTTGTATGGGATGCTGCCCAGACTATGGGTGCACACCACTTACGTGGAGGTCTTGGATTCTTGAAACACTGCATGTGTCTGATTGGAAGGGAAATAACATTGTTCTCACTTGAGTAGAGAAACTGACCTTCACTGACCAGAATTTTTATTTGTACAAAGAATCCTTTGGCACACCAAATCTCCAAACTCACATAATCCTTCATCAGTAAACTGCAGTGTTAGTTCATGTGCAAAATCAGAAAGTCCATATAGGGCCAAGTGCCACCTTGGTTATTAACAGGTAATGTTGGGGCTTCTTCACAAGAGTATAATGTAAATTTAATGCTGAGCTGACATTAACCAAACACTATTACCGTAGTTCTCACTGAATCTGTGTTCCATAAAGAGAGGCTCAGGGCTTCCATTTAGCCATTTGTGCCATGTGAGTTAAGTGCTCATTTCACATTCATTACCATCTAAGTGTAATATTCCTATTTTTACCCAAATGAATAGAAAGACACACACGCATGCATGCACGCACACCTATCAGGAACAAAACCCATTATTTTAGATTACTGAAAGTTTATGTAATGGGGTGAGGTTGCTCTTAGGGACTCATCTGGGTCACTGGCCTCTACCTAATCCAGGAAACAGGGACAAATGAATCCTCACCAGTGCTCTTACATCTTTTGGGTCAGTCAGTTCTGTCCAAACATCCCTTTTCTCAAACAAGAGGGAGCTTAACGTGGATCTTGGCAAGTGTGGAGCCAAGACTGACAAGGAGAAGCAGCATTTAGGCATACAGCCAAAGCTGAAGATTGAGCAGATGCTTTAGGATATCAACATCAAGGGGCTAAGCAGGACTGGAATGAAGCTGTAGAACAGAAGCCAGGAGTAGAGGGTGGAAGGCCTAGCCTGGAGGGGAGCCCTCACTCACTGGCATGGGTGGGATCTCAGGTACTTTCCCACACCTCAGCCCCAGGAGTCTGGTACCTGGCCACGGGCACTGCCTAGGAGGTGGAGCTAACTCAGACAAGACGTTGCAACAAAGACCCTGAGCTGACTACCCACCTATGGGTCCCTGGCACATGGCCTCATGTTCTGCTTCATTCTTTTTTTTTAATTGAGGTATACTCGATATATAACTTTATATTAGTTTCAGCTGTACAATATAATGATTTGACATTGCAACATGATCACTCAGCCCTGGGGGAGCAGGAAACAGCCCTTTACAACACACGTCCACAACACTCCCTGTAGTTTCTATTTTCAGATTTCAGTGCCAGCAGGTTCACCACACAGCGGGCCAGAAAAACCAGCAGAGGATGTGTCCCAGAAATGACTGGTCACAGAAGTGCCTAGAGACAAAACCCCTTTGTATTTCCCTTTGAATTATTACCATGACTGTGGATTTCTACTTATCTGGATGTCTCTCTTCTCGTTTGTACTCCTTGGGTGCTATGTTAATTTGTAGTCAACACACTGCTCTGTGAAAAAGTTCTTTAACTGTTTGAAGTGTGGGCCTTGCCTATCTGGTAAGATTATAGTTTAACTTTTGGTATAGAGCACTTACATACCTACTACTTAGTACATTCACTCTTCCTCCATATTCCACACCCTTCAAATCCCTGGTAAAATTAAGCCATTTTTTCCTTCATCCTGCTTGGCATTTAGCCCATTTCTTTCCCTCTAAATAAAACATTCATGTGGAGAAATCAACTCCATATGCTAGATACAAGCAACAAGAATAATGGAGAGATGTACTTCATTGGATTCAGGAGAAGGGAGTTCAAGTCTTAACTGAAACAATGTAAAAAAGGAGAGATTGCAACAGGGACATCCAATGGGCAACCTTAAATGTTATGAAAGAGAAAGGAACAGAAGACTATTGTGGGCGGAGACTGCAGGTGCTTCCACAAGAGGAGGATCCCAAATCACACAGGATTTGGATATCTAAAAAAAGGGGAGGCATCCAAAGTTGGGGTTAGACACAAAGACACTGAGTAGAAATGCCATGGCCATTAGATGGGAGCCACTGAAGGGTTTGAACAAGGCAGTGATGTGATAAAATCCCTTTCAGAAGACTGATCTGGCAGCTGCAGGCAGGAGGGATGGCAGAGAAAAACGGATGGGTGGGAAACAGTTAGAGGTCAATTATAACAATTTAGGTGTGGGATGATGAGAGTCATTCATTTATTCAAGTTATCTGATGTTTCCCATGTATTAGATAATACTCTAGATGCTGGGTTCAGTGGTGAACAAGAAAGCCAGGTACCTATACTCGTGGGGTCCATATTCTAATGGCACTAAAGAGTCTCTTTAGCCCTGGCTGGTGTGGCTCAGTGGACTGAGTCCTGGCCTGTGAACCAAAGGGTCACTGGTTCGATTCCTAGTCAGGGCACATACTTGGGTTGTGGGACAGGTCCCCAGTGGGGGAACACATGAGAGGCAACCACACATTGCTATTTTTCTCCTTTTCTTTCTCCTTCTCTTCCTCTCTCTAAAAATAAATACAAATCTTTTTTTAAGAGTCTCTTTAATGTCAGACAGTATCAGATAGTGATAAGTAGAGAGGGGAAGAAGTAAAACAGGGTGATGTCCTTTAACAAGGTACTTTGAGCAGGTGTTGTTTTTGCTGAGGCTAAAAAATGAACATCCGAAGGGGGAACATTTAGGGGAGAGGGTACAGAAATTACAAAGGCCCTAAGGTGAGGACAACCTTGAATTGTTAGAAAAAATCAAAAGGACAAAATGGCTGAAGCACAGTAAATAAGGGGAAGAGTGGCAGGAGACAGGGCTCAAAACCAGTCTGTGTGGCTGCATCATCTAAGGCCTCTGTGGACTCTGTTAGGGAATCGAGGTTGTAAGTACAATTAGATTTAGAGGAGGGAAGTGACATGATCTCAGATGCCTTTATAAAAGGTCGCTTTACTTGCTGTGTGAAGAATAATTGTTGGGGAACAAGAGTGGTCAGGCAGCTTAGTTGGTTAGAGCATTATTTAGTTATGTCGTGATGGGTTCAACCCTGGTCAGGGCACGCACAAGAATCAACCAATGAATGCATCAGTAAGTGGAAGAATAAAGTGATGTCTCTCTCTCTCTCACTCCTTTCCTCTCTCTCAAAAATCAGTAAATTAGAAGAGTGGAAGCAGGGATTCAGGGAGCTAGTGCAGCAGCCTGAGTGAGAAAGATATGGACTAGGGCAAAAATAGGGCCAACAGGACTTGACAATGAATTGGATATGAGGAACTCAAGATGATGACAAGGACAATCCTGGTTTTGGCCTCGAGTCTCTCGTAGGTGGCAGTGCCATTTGCTAAAATGAGGAAACTAAGGTGGGAAGAGACTGAGAGATGTATGGGGCTGAGCTCAGGGACA